TTTTATGAGACAAGGTGGTAAATGAGTTGACGTTACCAGATACTAAAATAGCCCTTGGGGTTACAATTACAGTTTAATGTATATTCAATTTCATTTCCTTGCATATTTTTATATATATTTCCTCAGCTAGAACTGCAGTTATTGCAAGTTCTTTTTTATCTTATCCTTTAAACGAGCAATTCTTGTATATATATATACGAGAATTTCTAATTCCGATTATATATATATATATATATAATCGGAATCTCGGAAACGGCTCCAGCGATTTTCATGAAATGTAGTATGTGCGTAGATTCGGGGGCGAAAAACCGATTTAGCTAGGTCTCATTTTTAGAAAATGTCCTTTTATCCCTGTTTTCAGGGAAAGGCCGTGGTTCGCGTCTCGATCATTTACACATTTATTTTTTTACTTTTTTTTTCGATTCCAGATCATTGCTTTCTTTATTTTTAATTTTTTTGTCGATTTGTTATTTTTTTCCCATTTTTTTTTTAAAGGTCTTTCTTTTGTGAAAAACATCAGTTCATATTTTCTTATTATTACGTCGGTAAGATCGAAAAATATTATGCATATTTCATTACTCAGTAATTTGTATCTAAATGTAATTTCCAAAATACACGATTTACCAAAAAAAAACAAACCGAGCAAAGCTCGGTCCTCCGGGTACTTTATTTTACAAGCTTAGATGCAACGGATTTTACTCCCCAAATTTGTACATGAAACAACCTTTAATACGAGTAAACTTTTAGATATCACTTATATAGATGTAGTAGAAATATTTTGAAGATTTAATTCGATTGCGACGGGGTGGCACCCTCAGAAAATCCTTTTCTCAATATAATCACATCAAATATACTTACAAAATGTGCGGAATGTCGATGGACATGAGGGAGGTTTATGTAACGAGGGAGGTCTATGTCCGACAGTCGACCCAAACAGGCTAAAATGATGATGATGATGACTTTGACTAAAATATTATGCTATTTTAAATCTATACTCCCGATATTCAGGCGCGATGAAATGATAATTGATAATGGTTGACTACGATGCTGAGGCACTTTATATGTATTTTTTATACATATAAACAATTCATTTAATCGAATCTTAATCCAAGTCGGCCGGTAACACTGCGTATAATAGAACAAAAGCTTTTCAATAGCGAGCTATGCGATAATATATATTCGTGGCGCGTCCCTCGCGGTAAGCTTAACTACGAAGAAGCAACGGTGAACACGTTCGGTGCCGTCTACCTACGTCTAATTCCGGTTACATTTAAAATTTAAATTGTGTTACCCAGTCTATTCTTTTCATTTTCTTGTACTTTTTATATGGTTTCAATATTTTTTTACTAATGTATACTTGATTTGGTGATTGTTATATTGTTTTGATGCAAACATAAAATCGTAATAGATTATTTGCCGTGGTCTCAACTTTTCATTTTATACAATAAATCGTGTAATATCCTAACAGCTTCTTGATAAGCCAGTTCACATCGTGTGGCGATAGACTTCAGTATGTTCAAAACTCTGTCAAATCGCGTGAATGCATCTAATGAACTCTGTCAAATCATATCAAATCGAAAGTTAAAATAATTCCGTTTTTAAAATAACACTTAAGTGTATCAAGGCAACGGATGTAGTTTGTGCAAATTTATCGTTTTGTTTGTTACACAACAGTGCCCGACGGTTGAACGGATCTAATGTAATTTAACACGCAAGCAGCTTTCGACACGGGTCAACAGTTACGTTAACTCATTTATAACAGCACCATTTAATTCCCACTGATTCTTTAGAAAATATGTGTATATATAGTTTAGAGCTTACGTTTTAAATGATCGCATCCTCCGATATCTATTCACAGCTAAACGCATTTCACCGACCTTAATTGGTAACGTAATGTATGTTGTTAAATTAAACTAATTAATGGGAATGATTTACATAATTTGCATAATATATTTGCATCATATTACATCATATGACGTAATGATTATGTGGTTCTTAATTGTTGAACCATTTTAAAAGCTAGTGGCCCGATCGAATTTGTAATATACAAACTCTCTCTTTGATACTCTCGTGATATTGTACTGTTTGCTGACGACACATCGCTCATTTTTAAGGTTGACCGAAACGTGTCGGATTATGACGACGTGAATAGTGCACTTTCGCGTATCCTCCACTGGTTTACCGTTAATAATATGGTGTTAAATGCTAAAAAAACTAAATGCCTTCTTTTTACCCTTCCCAGCGTAAGAAGGCGAAGTTTTAGCTTAACATTAAATAGCGTAACCCTTAATCCTGTTGAGTCCGCTGTATTCTTGGGAATTACAGTGGATTCAAAGCTCCAATGGAGTCCCCATCTATCATCTCTTGCGAACAGGTTAAGCTCCGCTGTTTTTGCAGTTAGGAAGGTTAGGCAGCTATCAGACATCGACACTGCCAGACTTGTTTATTTCAGTTATTTCCACAGCATCTTGTCTTACGGCATTTTGTTGTGGGGTAGTGCATCTGATATAAATTCTATATTTATTCTTCAAAAAAGAGCTGTCCGAGCAATCTATAACATCGGAGCCCGGAATACACTCAGAGACCTTTTTAAAGAGATTAATATACTCACTGTTGCGTCTCAATATATTTATTGTAACATTTTGTATGTTAAAAATAATATTAATAGTTATCTAAAGAATAGTGACAGACATAAACTAAATACTAGAAATAAGGACAAACTAACTACGCCATTGTTTCGTTTACAAAAAGTAAACAGGTCGTTCATGGGGCAAGGTGTGCGCATGTATAATAAAATCCCACAGTCGATATTAAGTCTGCCGATTGATGAATTTAAACGAAAAATTAAAAGTAAACTTATGGCTAAAGCCTATTATTCTATTGCTGAATATCTTGACGACGCCAATGTGTGGGGTTAATACTGTTGATACTCACGTAGGCTAAAACAAGACTATTGTACATGTACTATTATATTGTAAACTGATTTTTTTTTAAAAAGAGCAACTGTTGAGTTTCTTGCCGGTTTCTTCTCAACAGAAACTGCTTTCCGAACCGGTGGTAACTTACGAACGTGTTCATTTCTTGTAAAATTTTGACGTTTCATAAGAACGCGCAAGCGTCTATGTGAATAAAGATATTTTTATTTTTATTTTTATTTTATTTTGACGCAACTTTATTATAATTATTAGTGAAAGTCTTCGAAAATGGACCCTAAGATCTAACGTATCGAATCCTAACTACTGCTGCGTGACAGAGGGGCAATTTAAACTAGTCTAGCCGCCAATTAGAGTCGTTATAAACGCAACGGTCTAAATTTTATACACGTGAAACCGTCACCGTTCATTGTCAGAAGATATATGCGACAGAATAACGTATCAATTTCATGGGTTCACATTTAGTCTGTTTTGTAAAATTGTCTGCCTCAATACTAAAAATATTCTAAGCTAAAAAACACCTCGATAAAACTTGTAAATAGCTCTGACTGTTTAATGTAAAATCCTTCTTATCTGGTTACGATCATTCAACTAGTAATATTGACTATACAACCTGTTTTTATTAATAACAGTGAAAGGAAAAATCAGATATGACGTTAGTGACAGTAATCAAAAATAGTACTCTCGCTGTTTACTTTCAATAAATTTGTGGGTTAAAAGATGTAGTTTTAACATGTTTGGTCCTTCTAGAACCGGATTGAGGAAGTGTAATAAGTGCTAAAAACAATAGTAAAAAAGGCTAAGTGCTAATTACTGCGAGTTGGTAAGATTAGACTTGAATTGTCATAAACGTAAACAATGGCTCAACTTTGTGAATCACAAACAACGTTATCGGAACGTATTTCTAAGCTACAAAGTAATACTAAAAAGACGTCTAAATGAAGATACACACTTGGCTATCTACAAACACGCTTAGAAACATTAGAAAGTTATTGGTCTAAGTATCAAACTCAATATGAGATGATTAAATCAACGGTTACGAAAACTGAACTGGAGCAATTACAATTTAATGCCGAAAGTCTATACGAGACAACTGAAGACATATACCTAGAATTTAAGGGATTATTAAAGGATTATTTGTTGGAATTTTCGAAAGGTCAAGGTCAACCACAATCAAATAATACTACGCAAAGTCTTTTATCAACGAATGATGGCGAGACCACCCCCATTAGAACTAAATTACCTCCTTTATCGATTCCAAAGTTCGCCGGTAATTATAACGACTGAACAAGTTTTAAAGATTTGTTTAAGACTCTCGTGCATGACAACGTGCATCTAACAACGATTGAAAAACATCATTATTTAAAAACGAGTTTATCGGGAGAGGCTGAACAACTTCTAAAACATTTTGCACTCACGGAGGCTAAATACGATAAGGCTTGGAGCACACTTGACAGTAGATACAATAACAAACGTATGATTGTCACTACAATAATTAGCCGCTTTTTAAATCAAAAGAAGATGAACACAGAATGTTTTAAAAGCTTAAAGGAAATTTTAGATACTACGAAGGAATGTTTGAATTCTCTTGACAATCTCGGCGTGGATACCTCCACTTGGGATGCAATTGTCGTATATTTAATTATACCCAAATTGGACTTAGAAACACACAAACAATGGGAACAGTCACTTGGATCATCTCAAGACATACCCACATTTACCAGTTTATCATTATTTTTAGAAAATCGTTTCCGTTCTATGGAGATGGTAAATGTTACCCACAAAAAAGACCAACAGCAGAAAGGGGACTTAGTTAAAAATTATACAACCCAAAAACCTACAAATATGAAGTCATTTGTCACGGAAGTAAGCAGCGAATGCACTTATTGCTCACAAAACCATTATATTTGTCATTGTAAAGAATTCGCCGCATTAGATGTTCCTCAACGTCAGGATTTTATTAAGAAGAATGGCATTTGTTTTAATTGCCTTGTAAAGGGTCACTCCGTTAAAGCGTGTAGGCAGAGCACCACCTGTAGAAAATGTAGTCGACGACATCAGACTCTGATGCACTTCGCAAACCCTAACAAGATCACATCAGTGCCGGAAAGCAATGCAGTAACACCCAGTACACTTGAAACAAGCCAAACCACATCAACCGTCGTTTACAAGGCTGAGGTTGACAGCGACAGTGAGGAAGTAATATTGGCAACCACACGAATTGCAGTTAAGTCGAGGAACGGCGATACGATAGTCTTGAGAGCACTGATTGATCCGTGCTCGCAATCAAATTTTGTTACTGAAGCGGCAGCTCAAGTGCTTAATCTCGAGCGCACTTCAATCAGCGGAAAAATTACTGGCATATCATCTATACCACTGACAACTAAGTCACAAGTTACGTTGAACTTTCATGCTATAAGAAATCCATCACACATGATCACAGCTAAGGCGTACGTCCTTAGACGAATAAATTCGAGATTACCATCACAAGAGCTCCCATCAGATACCTGGCCTTCTTCTGAGATTTCGGATCTTGCAGATCCACACTTTCACAAGCCAGGATCTATCGACGTGCTATTAGGTGCAGTTGTATATGCGCACATTATTCTTGACGGAATAATAAAACGAAATGAGTCTCTGGTCGCTTTGAACTCAAGATTGGGCTGGCTGGTAAGCGGCGAAGTTGCGCAGTCTAGCCATCAGTCACACAATGTAGTTGTTATGCACACACAAGTCGAAGTTGATCAGTTGCTACGTCAGTTTTGGGAGATCAATGAATATTCACCAAACGTGAAGCCTCTGTCAAAACCTGATGCAGTGTGAAGAGCATTTTAAGAAAACTCACACTCGGAGCACTGACGGCTGATATGAGGTTCGCCTACCCTTCAAGGACGAAGACGCTCCAAATTTAGGCAACTCCAGACAACTTGCTTTGAAGCGCTTACATCAGATGGAGAATAAGCTTAAGCGAAGACCCGAGTTTCACAAAGAATACTGCAAGTTCATGAGGCAATATGAATCACTCGGTCACATGGAGGTCGTCCCTGAAACAGAGAACGAGAATAGAGCTTATTACCTACCACATCACGCTATTCTTCGTGCCTCGAGCCTCACTACAAATTTGCGCGTAGTTTTTGACGGAAGCGCTAAACCTGTAGACGGAAACTCACTTAACGATGAGCTACTCATCGGCCCACCGCTGCAACAAGATATACGAGATTTAGTAACACGGTGGAGACAACATAAGTACTGCCTAGTAGCTGATATACAACAAATGTACCGACAGATACTTATCTCAAGGCAAGACACTGATTACCAGAGAATCTTTTGGTGCGAGTCATCGGAAGATCCGATTAGAGAATATCGGTTACTTACCGTCACATATGGCAGTTCATGTGCCCCATATCTTGCCATAAGGACACTTCATCAACTTGCAGAGGACGAACGTGGAGAGTTTCCTGAAGCTGAACTACTAAAAAAGGATCTCTATATGGACGATTTGATGACGGGCTCATCTACAGAAGAAGACACTCAACGGCTTCAACGTCGCTTAACTGAACTGTTTAAACGTGGCGGTTTTCTTCTACATAAGTGGTCGTCTAATAGTGAAACGGTTTTAAGTGAGATTCCCGATTCTAAAAAAGCATTAAAAAGTTCAGTGAATATTAAAACTGATGATTCGGTGAAAGCTTTGGGCATAGCCTGGAAACCACAAAGTGATATATTTGAACTGGTAGTTAACTTATCTCATGATAACGACATTGTTACAAAACGAAGTGTGCTATCTGCGATAGCAAAAACGTTTGACCCTCTGGGTTGGCTAGCACCTTGCGTGGTTGTGTTAAAAATGTTTATGCAGAAATTGTGGCTAGCCGGCTTGGACTGGGACTCTCAACTTCCTGAAGACCTGAAAACTGAATGGCAGAATTATCTGACTAATTTTGAAAACATACAGGCCATTCAGCTTCCACGTTGGTTAGGGATTGCAAATAATGTAAAAATTGAATTGCACGGTTATTGTGACGCCTCTTGCGCCGCCTACGCTGCGGTTATTTACATCAGAGTCATCACGGACAATGAGATAAAAGTAAGCCTGGTCGCAGCCAAAACAAAGGTCGCTCCCGTTAAACAAATTTCATTGCCACATCTTGAACTTTGTGGGGCAGTCCTATTGTCTAAATTGATACCATATGTCAAATCTAGTTTAAATATTGATGATAATTGTGTATTTTCTTGGACAGATTCCACTATAGTTTTAGCTTGGTTGCGGAAAACTCCAAATACTTGGAAGCCATTTGTTTGTAATCGCACTACCGAATGTCACGAATAGTAGTCAATGGCATCATATTAAGTCTGCGGATAACCCCGCGGACTGTGCCTCACGCGGTATCAGTCCTGGCGAGCTGATGCAGTCACAACTATGGTGGGAAGGTCCAGCTTTTCTTCGCGAGTCTGTTGAGAGTTGTTACCCTAATTTTACTGTACCTGAAACCATACTCGATGCAAAATCGAAAACAAAAGTTAGTTACTTATGCGCCTCTGTACCTAATGAATGTACCATGTACCTCAATAGATACTCAAGTCTACTTAAACTTATATGTGTGACAGCCTATTGCTTTCGATTTTTTCGGCCATGTAAAGATAAGGTTCTCAAAAGGAAGGATAACATAAAACTGACATACCTCACTACTGATGAAATAAAAAATGCATTAAAAACTTGCATTCGAATGTCACAGTCTGTTTACTTTGGAAGTGAAATAGGATTGTTATTACAAAGCAAACATATCCCAAAAAATTTTACCTTTGAATCCGATCCTAGACAATGAGAAAATTATTAGAGTCGGTGGACGTCTTGTAAATGCTCAAATACCACCTGATATGAAATCTCCTATAATCTTACATCATAAATGTAACTTAGCAAAGTTGATTGCAATTGAGAACACTACATGGTAGAAATTCGCTCACATTAAATGTTGTCCGCCAAAAATATTGGATTCTCCGAGCAAAAAACTTGGTAAAAAAGATTTTAAGATTATGTAAACCTTGTTTTATGCAAACTGCACGACCTATGACTCCGTTAATGGGTAATTTACCACAGTGCAGAGTTAATCCGTCACGCCCGTTTTTGACCAGCGGCGTTGACTTCTGTGGTCCATTTACGCTGAAACTGTACTCTGGTAGATGCACTAAAACTTGTAATGCTTACATAAGTGTGTTTTTGTGTATGGTTACAAAGGCTATTCACCTTGGGCTGGTTAGTTCACTATCCAGTGCTGCGTTTTTAGCACCCTTCAAACGTTTTACTTCCCGACGTGGGCATTGTAAAGAAATCTGGAGTGATTGTGGGACTAATTTCATAGGCGCGTCCAAAGAATTAGACCTCGCGTTCAAAACATCAAATCAACTGTCGTTGACGAAATCGCCCAACTGTTAGCTAACGACAGCACAACATGGCATTTCATTCCCCCTGGTGCCCCTCACTTTGGAGGATTGTGGGAGGCAGGAGTTAAGTCCGTAAAAGGACATCTGAAACGCGTCGTAGGCGAATCCTGCTTAACATTCGAAGAGTTTTGCACTCTGCTCACACAGGTCGAGGCTTGTGTCAACTCTCGGCCACTTACATTGATTAGTTCTGCCGTTGATGAACTCCCGTAGACTCCTGGTCATTTTTTGATCGGTGAAGCACCGGTTACTATCCCTGAAGAAAGTTTCGTGGATACTCGATCTGACTATTTAAACCGATGGCAAAAGGTGCAACGTATGGTACAAAGTCTGTGGCGACGTTGGCAATCTGAGTATCTTACTATGTTACAACATCGATACAAATGGTCCCAGAATCACCCCGACATAAATGTTGGTACGGTTGTCTTAGTGAAAGATGATCGTTTACCTCCAGGTAAATGGCTTTTGGGGCGAATTGTGGCGAAGCACCCGGGAGCAGACGGTGTAACGCGTGAGGTCTCCTTACAATTTAAGGATCGTGTGTTTAAGAGACCAGTTACTAAACTGTGCCCTCTGCCTCTAGCTGCTTCAGAGCCTTAGTTAAGTTATGGTTTATAGTCTTGTTTTGTAGATTCTTACTCTATTTAAGTTAAAGTTTAGATGTTTGTATCTTCCACGGTTAAAGGACCCATATAGTCCTTGGGCCGCGGCATGTTTAATGTAAAATCCTTCTTATCTGGTTACGATCATTCAACTAGTAATATTGACTATACAACCTGTTTTTATTAATAACAGTGAAAGGAAAAATCAGATATGACGTTAGTGACAGTAATCAAAAATTGTACTCTCGCTGATTTAACCTTGCAATATAAAACGTTTTACCCGTGCACAAAAAGTATTAGTAAGTCACTTTATCTATACTATAACATTGATTCACTTTGTCTGTATTAGGTACGGACAAGCAGCAATGATATCTAGTTTTAAATATTGTCACTGCGATCCGCTATACGCACATCAACAACAAATGAAACCAGCTGTTACAGTAATTAACCGGTATTCTATGATAACAGCTGCTCACAACATAGTATAATATAACAAGCTGTTTCTTAACAGGTAATTGACACTGTTATGGCAAATAACAGGAACAGGCATAGCAGGTATTCGATTTTACCCAGTATAGCTCACTCCTAGTTGAAATCTAAGTGACTCGCAACATCGTAATATGCATGATCAATATTATGACGTCAGACCCGATCCTCAATGTTGCCAGCGACGACACACGCACGAAGCTAATAAAAGAGTAGAGACAATAATTTTTAACAAAAAAAACCGAGTTCAAACAGAAAACTAAAAACATTGTTGATACATATAACATTTGAGGATTGCCCTCGATTTCTCTGGGATGCCATCATCAGATCCGGGTTTCCTTATCACGGTATCACCCTCGGAATAATTCCTTTTCAACAAAAAAGAATAATCAAAATCGGTTCATAAACAACGAAGATATCCACGGACACACATAAAAATATATATATATACGGTCGAATTGAGAAACGTCATTTTTAACCGACTTTAAAAAAGAAGAAGGAACGGATTTTGATCCGATCCCAAGAGTACCATGATAAGGAAAGGCTCTGATGATGACATCCCAGAGAAATCCAGGGCAATCCTCAAATGTTACAGGTTTTAACAATGTTTTTAGTCTCCGGTTTCAAGTCAGTTTTTTTGTTAAAAATTATTTGATGTCGGCTAAGAAGGCGAACGTACAATCGGAGAAGCGATCCATCGCCGATTCGACGTAGCGGCGCGGCACGCCAGTCCGTGCGCCCCCGCCGGCGAACACATGCGCTCGCATCCGGCCGGGCCCGCGCGACAGTACGGCCGCGGCCACTCGGCGACACTTCCAGGAACTCGAGTTTCTTACGACGAGTTTTAAATCGCCCTGTTTACGAATCTAGTGATAATACAAGATATCTAATTTGCCAACGGACCAATTGACCGCGCCTCAGACGCTGCCGTGAATCGCTCGAATTTTAATGTTAAATGTGATCGCGATAGTTAATTGTGAAGTGCGGTGCTGTGAGGCGTATTCGGATGGAAATGATTTTTTTTAATACGTGGTGATTGTGGTTTTCCTTTTGGGTGAAAATGGTCGAATTTGCTCTCGAAAATGTTAGTACAATATCCCATTTTTTTTATTTTACTACCACTATGTAGCTTCTTCAAATGACTTATAGCCATTAAAAGATGGAAGGTACAATAGACCAATAAATTATTAATCTATAATACCGTCACTTTTAAAGAACTTTTCTTTGAAATAAATTGTATACCATTTTTATTCAATAACAATCTGAAGTTTTATTAGCTTTTAAAGTGTTTGTCACAACCTTAGGTGCAAATAAATGTAAATCCAGTTGCATTTAAATAGCTTTTTACTATTTATTATCCATATGTAACCGAGTATAAGACAATTTGTCCACACCAACCATGAATTAACATGAAACGTACTAATGCACAGGTTATTTGTTTAAACGTGAACATAATTCATTATTAAAACACCTATTTACAGAGGTTATCAGGGCATAGTTCACCACGCTGCCCCACTGCGGATTGCCAAACTTCACATATCTTCAAAATACAATTTTTGTTATTATTTCGAAGACAGCATGCAGGTTTCCTCAAGATGTTTTCCTTCACCGCTGAGCACGTGATAACTCAGCATTTAAAAGTAACAATTTCATTGGTGCCGGCACCGGGGTTCGAACTCAGGTTGCTCCAGTATAATGAATTAAAAGTGAGCGCCTGGACAATGAGCTATCACGGCTATAATTTTTAATGTGTCCGATTAAAGACGACGAGATAGTAGATTTTCTATTTTACCGATTTCTTGTATCACAGAAATCTGTTACGTTTATATAAATGTTGTTGGGTGAGTTCCATCGCGTGTTATGTTAAAAGGACGTCGTGTACTCAAAGAACTGTAGACGCACAATCCATTTTCTATCTACCTACTCTAAAATAACAGAAGCGCTTGATAATATCACCTCAATTCCGACGTCCCCTTTCACCTTTAAACATCCATTGTTTACTAAATACGCGAAGACAACGACATTGTTTACATCATTACAGCGGTTTCTTTGTGTAGAACTTTTACAGCCCCGCTTCAATTTCTTCTCCAACCGCCTGTTAGGAATTCTCGACGGGACCATTGTTTCTTTGATTCCCACAAAACGCTGGCGTAACAGTACATTCGCGTTGCCTCTCTCGCGTCCTCGTTTGTTCCGCCGATATCCAGCGCATTCAAAATCGGCCTGCCTCTGATTCTATTTCTAAGATGGCCGTATTCAGAAATATTTGAAGCGCACGCTATATCCAATCGAAGTACTTATACCAATTATGTCAGTGGAAACAATAATTATGCTTGAATAAACTTGTTAACTACAAGTTAAGTTATATTGACCCTATCACACAACAGTCTTCGCTGTTGCACGAAATGGTGGGTCTGTCCGGGTCAGTACCACGACCCAAAAGAAGCCGGTCTTCTTGTTCTAGATCTTCGTGAAGTGTACGTGTTTCATTGGTTTTCACTTAAAATCAGGTGAACAGCCAACTCGCTCGCCATCTTCTGACATAAAATAAAGAAAAAAACAAACAATATCCCAAAGGTTGTCAACGCATCTGCAACCCTCGGGTGTAGCAGATGTCGCTGGGTGGCGATATTACTTAACATCAGGCGAACCGCATGCTCGCTTGCCAACTTTTCACATAAAAAAACAATAATTCCTATGATTTTTTAAATTTAAACTTCATATGGGATTCAAATCTTAGTGATGAGACAGATTTTTCATGCTGGCTACTAGAAATCTTACAGATATGTAAACGTATTAATTTATATATAATATCTTCCACCACAGAACCAGCAAGCAGGCACCTCGGGCGATTTCAGGCAGTATCACGACCAGAACTACAGCTACGCGATGCACCAGAACCAGAATCAAGGCGCCGTCGCGAGGAACGTTCAAAATTACGACTCTCCCAAACCACCAATACCGACAAAAAACTACGGCACCAAGGCCGACGCCCAAAATAACTCGCACCATATCACAGTCACGGTGGAAACTGGCAAAGACAGCACGAGGGACGCTCCAAAAAGTACGAAGTCCGTCAGCAAGACCTATCACACGCTGAAGGATATGATATCAAGCAGATTCAAGAACAAGGAGAGCAATGACGGTGAAAAGTCTGAGGAAGCCAGCTTAAACAACATTGAAGAGCGAAAGAGGCCGGAGACCGAACAGGTGACACCGAGGGAGACGCCCACGAGGAAGGTCGAGCAGGGGATTTATGGAAGGCCAATGCCCCAAGCCAGGCCGGATATGCAGTACTCGCATGGAATGACGAACAACATCGCCTACCAGAGCCCTTCACCACACAGGTATGATCAGATTTTTAACCGTTTTTATGTAAACATTTGTTGTATTTGCACGATTACTCCAGCAATCAATCATGAGTATGCTGATGGTAGCCAGTTCATAAATATTACATTTAGGTGAATTTTTAACACGTTAGAAATTAAAATGAAGTGAACAAGACAAAATCTTACATTTTATTTTATCTAACAATGTGTACTACAATTATTTTATTGTTTTCACCTTAGACCACTTAGGGTGAAAACGAACCATTCATCTGTTATGTCGATGCGAGAATTTATAAATATCATAGAAGATTAAGCTACTCATAAAAATTGCCACTCTTGGAGATAAGTGCAAAACAAATGTATATATTGTATGCGTACTTTCTTATTAACAATCATTATCTCCTACTAAGCATAAATGATATTGAAGAAATACTCCCCAAAACTAGAACATATATATGGGATAGCTATATCACATGTAGGGCATAATCTTAACATTAGACCGAATATATATTTACTAGCTGACCCGGCAAACCTTTTTTTGCCATATAAATTAATTGTAGGGTCGAAAAAAATGTTTGGGGTGGACCACCCCTAATATTTATGAAAAATAGATGTTGTAAGATTCTCCACCCTGGCCGATATGCACACAAAATTACAAACACCGTGAAACGAGAATTTTTTAGATTATATTTTTCACAAAACTGTAAGAAAAGTGGATCAAAAGTTTGACCCGTATTTGCCATTCCAAAGTAGTGCACCAAATAACCAGCATTAGTTTATAAGATAACATTTCATCAAATGTCCTCATTTTACAGACAACTTATGCAGCAACAAATAGTCCAGCAACAAATGATGCTGAACCAACAAGCGAGATCGCAGGAGATGTTGGCATCCACTCCACATGCTCGTCCCCAAGCACTGGGTGCAGACGCCTTGTATCAACAGTATGGCCCTCCAGGTAGACGCAGTGCTGTATACCAGAGGGACATGGATGTGAGGTCCATGGCTAACTTCACTTCATTGAAAACTGGACCACAAAGTCAGGTAGAGTAATTAAACCTATCTCTTATCGGTCGTTATATACATTAACAATAATAAATATTGACTTCTGATTTTTTTAGACATAGATACCAGATAACAGTTTCACTGGTATTATTACCATATTCTCAAAGTAATTGCGTACAGTGCTTTGAACTAAGAAAATATCTATAATTAAATACAATTTTGTTTACAAGCTATCATCAGGAGGCTCGATAAAAAATTTCAAAAACAATTTCAATGAAACACCTTTCTTACTCGACCCCGTCCTATTCTCACTACAATCACCGACTGCAACACAAAGAACAATCGTTCCCAACAATTAAACAACTTTTCCCACGGAGTGTGCCGCAATTACATTAACAAGTACATGACTATTCGCGACTAAAACATGTCTGTAATATTTTACGTCTTTAAGAAAGCTGATTAATTTATTAGATCATTGTTAGCACAAACGAAAGCAACAGGTAGTATCTAGCCCGCAATTATGTGGCAAAAAGCTATTGCTATTGAGATGTGATGAAAACGTGACAAATGTGAGGTTTTCATTTTCAATCATTGACTTATTACACGCCATTTGTTAATACTTGAGTTATCTAAATATTTTTGTCATTTTTATCCCTTTTCGTTGTAGTTTGACAATTCACATTCAAGACTTGACCTTAGAAGCCCACAGCAATTAGAAAGGGAGATTGTAAGGCAAAGAGGATTGATTGAAGGAAGACGAGCGGCATCGCATCCTCATCTTCTCGACGAACCGCCACAGAGACCAGAAGTCAACACTCCACAAATCCACGAAAGATCGAGAAGAAACTCACACGGGAATCTCTTAGATGGGTTGCCAAATGAGAATAACCCACAAAGAAATAATGTTGACGAAAGGGAATCTGATGATGGCGGATTTAGACTTCGGTTAGCGGCGCAAGCAAGGTCAAGTTTCGAAGAGCGGATTCGAACGAGCGGAAGATCTGTGGAATCTAACAGACAGGAGAGAATACAGGAAAATGTTTACAGACGAACACCTGAAAGCAATAGAGAACCTCGCCGAACACCAGACTCACTCGCTAACCGCCATAAAGAGGAAGCAACCAACTTTCAAGGGCCCGATAGAAACGATGAGAGTGCAAGTCAAAAGTCAGCTGATAGTGTTTACAATTCAAGCGGAAAAACTGAAGCATATCACCCGCAGCCATCTTCTTCCAGACAAACACCGAATAGAATAGAAGACTTAAAAGCCCACGGAAAGAAAGCTAACGGCTCAGGAGCTAGTTCGGGTTAGTCAAACGGATTTTTTTTATTTATCAATACTTATTATGATATTACAAATAAAATAAAATGCGTTTTTAATTTCGTACGTTACATCACCTAAGACTTAATTCTCAATACGATCCTTTCGAATATTTCAGTCGTATGTAAATAAACACATATTTATACCAAACATACAAATAATTACTTCCCAGTATCAAATGAACGCATATTTTTAAAACATAGGTTTTTACGGTAATTATAGTTATCAGTGCAAATATTAGAAAATGTCAGCGTAAACCAGTCAGTAGTCTTTTTTAAATTTCTTATGGTGCTAATCTCTGCGCTTAAGATTAAACATTAAAATTTGTAGAAGAGTACGAAGAAGTACGAAAAGATTGCCGCCGCTGCGGGCATCGAGCCCACATCTTCGGCATTCGCGGCCTGACGCTCTAGCCACTAAGCTAAATGGCTGATTGCCACACCGACGAAAATTTTAGGGTCTTTTATCTATATTGTTTTTTATCATTTGAAGCAATGCAGTTAGTGAGCGTCATGTTTAATCGTTAAAATACTTTCGCGTTTCGTCTGGTGAGTGAGGTAGCCGGAGCCCAATTTTCAAGAGGTTGTCAACGCATCTGTAACCCTCGGGTGTGGCAGATGTCCACGGGCGGCGGTATTCACTTAACATCAGGTGAACCATCTGCTCGTTTGACAACTTTCCGCATAAAAAAATGTTTAATCGTAAGTGCAGAGATTAGCACAATAAAAAAAATTAAAATAATTTCTAACGTCGTATGTCTAAATGACCCACTGAATTAGACTACGACAAGAACGGAGGGCAGTCATCCAACGTGGACTCAGGCAGGGGCAGCGTGGCGTATTCGAGTGGCAGGAGACCGGAGGCTAGCCCTCACGACACGTCGGCCGAATCGGACGCTGTCACCCATTCGAGAAGTCAACCTCAACCCGGCACTAGTCAGCAGCAAGCGGGGCCAAGTATGTTTTTAAATGTTAATATTTCAGTACTTTTCCGTAGTGACTTTTAAATAAATTAATAAAAATTTAATTTAATAGTAAATTTTATTCAGTATATTTTATCTGTTAAATAAAACATTTTTAAGAGAAATAAAAAAGAAATGAGAAATAAAAAAAAATAAAAAAATTAAAAAAATGTATGAAAAGTCGATGAAAATATGTATATAATAACAAATACATTTTGCTTAAAAATATTGATTTTGATAATCACACGCATTGCCTTGCTCACGTCATTTACCACGGACCAGATATAAATGTGAGCAAGTATTTTTTCCACCACATAGTCTAAAAAATGGAAGCTCATTAATTTAACTCTAGAAAAAAATCAAGAAGGCATAAACAGCCACCCAACTAGTGAACTACAAATTCACAAGTACAAAAATATCAACAAATAACCTCAAGCACAAAAATTTATAATCATTTCCTATTCATTTTTTATTAATTAAATTCTCCCTCTATTATTCAGGTGGCGAAAACGAGTGGGCGGATCTCGTCGAGTGTGAATTACGTCAAATTCTGGAACCTAAACTGTCAGGGCTTCGGTTGGAATCGTCGGCGAGCTCCGATGGCTCGGTGACGCCTCCGCTACCGCCTATCTCACCATCCTCCGATCTTCACAAACGAAATAGGTAATACGCGTCCATTATTATATTTTAAAAAGGAAAACAAAGAAACAAAAGTAGACTCGCTTGATGATTATCACCACCACATGTTTCGCCTTTCAAGACAGAATGCGCTTTTTTGTGAAAGATTACTAGAGTAATATAATAAAATGAACTTCTGGAAACTCGTGGTTACTTAGCCGAGGTTGCTGTATTTCCTGTAGTTGTGATCTGAATCCTGAAAGGGATGTAAAGTTCCTCATATTTTTGCATTTCATAAGTCTATGATCAATCAAAGTATTAATGTATTCTCTCGTTTAAACTACTACCGATATTTCCAGCCTACCGGGTCGGTCATCAGAGTATCCGGAGGAAAGGAGAAGAAACCGTGAATCTCCACGTTGGCACTCCCACAAGAAACACTCTTCCAAGCGTGAACACCACTACAAGAAACATTGTAAATACACTTCCTATCTCTTTTACACTTGTTTTAAAATTTAAGTAGCATGATTTGTAGAGAAAAGAACATAACTTCTTCTAATTTGAGGGAGGGATACGATTTACAAACAATTACTGGCTTGTTAAGAATCCACTGAATCGGCCTGACATCGGATGATATTTCCGTGCTCACCCGGTGCCAATACATATCGTTAAGTGCAAGGCAATGCACTTACGATTAAACTTTGTCAATCGTAACTGCCATCATACCATCTTCCTGTTAAACCGATTTGTTATTTGAAAAAAGAAGAACAATTTAATACGTCTTCGCTGTTGCACGAATGAGCAAGTCCGTCCGGGGAAGTACCGCGACCGCACCAAAGAGTGAAGTGAATGTATTATACTTCTGCGTTTTGTCTAGTGAGCGAGGTAACCGGGGTCCACTGTATTGAAACGTGCCAACGCACATGTAATGCAAATGTTGCAAATGTCCATGAGCGGCGGTCACTTAACATCATCTGCCTTATAGTATCTAAACGAGCTTCTCATAACAGGAGCTCGATCTATAAGTACGTAAATCATAGGTACTTATTATGGATGACAAAACGCTGTACAAAACACGTAACATAGAAACCATTCCACCATTGGAAAGACTTTTTAAGAAGAAAAAGAAGAAGAAACGTTTATTCACGGTCTAAGCCCACGTATAAAACTTAAAATAACAACAAAAACAAAAAAAAATATGTGATTCGAAATTTCCTATCAATTACAATGACTTCAGTGTTCGGTCTGGACACGACGGACGTGACGTCGACGACGACGCGCAGCCTGGACCTGTCGTCGCTGCTGGGCGCGCGCTCCGACAGCGACGCTTCCGGCGGCGACGCGCGCGCCATCCGGCGGCAGCTGCGCGGCCTCGAGAACATGTACGCGGAAGTGCTGCAGCTGCTCGGCGTGCGGCGGCCCGCGCCCGCCCACACGCCCGCCTGGGAAGCGAGGTCAGTTCAGAACTCTTCTTCTTTCTTTAGTAAATGGCTTCTCTCACCCCCGCCTCGGAAGCGAGGTCAGTTCAGAACTCTTCTTCTTTATTTAGTAAATGGCTTCTCTCACCCCCGCCTGGGAAGCGAGGTCAGTTCAGAACTCTTCAGGTTGTCAACGCATCTGTAGCCCTCGGGTGTAGCAGATGTCCATGGGCGGCGGTATTCACTTAACATCATGTGGCCCGCTTGCTCGCCTGTCAACTTTTCACATAAAAAAAAAATCTTGAACAATGTAACGTCGAGGAGCTAAACTAACAGTCGCTACTATTTCCACTCTATTTGTACATTTGGAACTCTACATAGATATTCATACAACCTGTTTGGGATTATTTTTTATTTTGTTGCTAGTTTCTGCACTTTACAGTTGATTAAAAACTTATGCCTCTATATAATTAGTTTTCCCTTATCCGAAAGATTTTTTTATAACAATTCATTTTACGCATACTGGATAGACGATCCGATTGGCGTAGTGCGCTGTACCCTGCATCTTGCCCTAGAGGACGTGGGTTCGATCCCCACAACTGGCAAAATATTGTGTGATGTGTTTTTTCTTCATTATTCACGTTATACTCATGTTTTAAATAAGCCAAAACTAAGAAAACGGTTTACTATCTCCAGGCTCTCATCAAAACGCCGCTACGGGAGCATGTCATCGCTGCCGTCAAGCTCGGTGAGCAGTAGGCCCATCAGAGACAAGCGACGCAGCTCCAACGAGCACAGAAAGAAACATGACCTGAAGGTAAGGTCTTCTGAAGTAAAATGGAGTACAATCTTCGCAAAAATAGAGTAAGCTTACCAAAACTCAAAACAAAACTTCTTCTCAATTAAAGTGGAATACCGCAAAAATAATATGCTTCCTAAAATTTCAGACTAAACTTTATTGTGATCTGACCATCCATTTGTTGCATTATTAGCCTCTATCTACCGGGCAATACTAAAATTTCAAGCTAATAAATTGCAACCACAATTTGTTTGTTTGAAATTATATAATATAGAATATTTACGGAAAACTACATTTATTTACTCGAAATTATCAAGGGAAGAGGAGATCAAGAAGGATGTTTTTTTACTTTAAATTTATTTCACGGTGTGATTTTTTAAGTTTTTGCATCATCGGATGATGAAAGAAAAACTGAAATATTAAAAAAATGGCACATAGGCTAAAAGATAATTTAGTAAGAACTGTTTATACCGATTAATATTCCAAACCCTTATCTCAAAAACTCTTTCTGTAACTCATTTACGCCACCCCTTATTCCAGGGTATAAACAAGAGATTCCAGAGACTTGAGTCGCACGTTGTCACACTCGCCCGTTCAGTCGCACATCTCTCCAGTGAGATGAGGACACAGCATCTGGTGATGCAGGAGATGGACAATATACGAGCAGAGATCGCCGCTCTACGACATATGTACAAGTGAGTGTCGATTTGGTTTATGGTGCTAATTTGCAATTTATGAAACTCCATTTATTATTAAAATAAACTTTCGTATGAATTTTGGTGAATAGTTTGTTTGATATCTGAAATGAGAATTATCAGAATTTATTTATCTTTAGCAACCTAATAAACTTAACTTTCGTAAGTTCGTACATTAATTAATTAAAGTTAAAAGGCATCAGATAACTGATATGGGAAAAATAAACAATTTTATACTCGTTTTAAGCTGTTTTTCTGTCTAACTCTTTCCCCCAAGGTTCCACTAAAAACCAGCATTCACGAAGGTTGTCAACTTGACCATTTTGGGTAATTTTAATCATAGGTATTTAGTTTTTAGCATCTATTGTATTGTTTTGTTATTATTTGCCAAATAAATGTTTCTTTATTTCTTTCTTTCTTTTTAAATTATTATTGTATCATTAAATGATAATATGTAACTTGATTTCAATAACATTAATAATGTATGTTAATTGAGAACCGCCGCCCATTGACATTTGCAACACCCTTATTTTGTAGATGCGTTGCCACCCTTTAATAAAGTTAGCCCCGGTTACCTCACTCACCAGACGAAACGCAGAAGTATAACACTTCCATCTTCTGTGAGGTCGTGAGTGAGTACCTCACCCGGACGGAGCCGCCCCTTCGTGCAACAGTGAAGGCTGTTGCGTGGACCTACCAAGTATATATTATGGCAACTTTCCTTGTAAAGGACTGCTTACGATCGCGTGTTATTCCCAGGTCTCAGCAGTACATCCGCTCCGGACATCAGAGACACCTAGACCCATACTCGTTCAGCAATCCGGACAGAGTCAAGCGCCTCACCAAGTTCTTCGGAGACGAACCGCCCCTCATGAGACTATTCCTTAAGAAATTGGGATATGAGGTATATACGAAATAATTTAAATTGTTTTTTTAATCTAATAGGTTAAGAAATGCTAAATGAATGAGATTCCTCATCTTTTTTAACATTCCATTCTTTTTATTAAACATTTGTTGTAAGGGCGTTTTACATGAATAAATTCCTCATAGACAAACGCCCACATCCGAATCAGTTATCTGTGGGTCACACAAATAGCTGTCACGTGTTGCAATCGAATCCACAACCACAACCATCGGCGCTGAAGCCAATGCTTTGGCAACTGCACCACGCAGTTATCTGTTAACGACTTTCCACGGAGTCGAAGCAAGCGGTTCTCTTATTCCTTTATTACGACAAAGGAATGGAACAATTTTCCATCGCCTGCCATTCCGTCTGAATACACCATACGAAAAGGCAGTCAAGCAAAATGTCTGAAGATGTTTTTATAAAAAGTTAACACCCACACTTAGCTAATGTGTTTACCGTCCGAGCTGCATTACCATTCCACCAGAAGGAATAGTGATCAAGTAATCAGTCAGATTTAATAAGAAAAAAAGCAATATATGTTATAAACAGGTTCGTTGTGTACCTATATATTAAGCCATTATATAATCGCTCGTCTTCTCACTAAACACTTAGGCATAAAAAATATTTAATGAGCGTATCTCTCATGAGTTTTTTATTTATCAAATAACAAATTACAGGTATATAGCAAATTGGAAAGAATGATGTAACATGAAAATAAAATTATCATTTCGACAGAAATACGCGGCGTTGCTAGAAAAGGAAAAAGTTGGAGCGGCGGAACTACCTTACGTGGGTGAAGACAAGTTGCGAGCTTTGGGTGTACCGCTGGGCCCCAGGATGAGGATTTTGAAGGAGGCCGGCATCCACCAGGATCTGCACCACGCGTCCAGAGACGACCACAACACCACCACGACATTAGCTATAGTTTAGTGACCGTTGATTGTTCAGCCAAACTGCCTCACGCAGAAGTTGTAAAAAGATACAAAAAGTTTGAGGATTTAAGCCAATCTGCCTCACATAGAAGTTGTAAGAAGATAAAACAAGTTTGCAGATTTTACCCAATCTGTCTCATGTAAAAGTTGTAAAAAGACAAAACAAGTATCCGGATTTAATCACGACGCTAACTCCATGACGTTCACGAGGCTGACTGTCATGTAGTCTTCAGAAAGTCAATAATTTATAAACTTAATTGTTGTGATAGGATTCATAAATCTACTTGTTATAATATTGAATCTTATGAATTAATGTAACCAGTTACAGAAATTTATTATAATATTAACTTTTACGACAGATTTGAGTTGAAGTTAAAATTGAACACTTATAATGCCTACAAAGTCTTTTGTATATTTTTTTTTTATTATATTGTCTTGTATTAAGGGACAATAAGTTTTAAATATTTGCTCATTGATGTCAAAGTAGGAACAAGCTGAAATGTATATTTTTCTATCTATTCCGCACTTTTTAAATCTATCTTTATATATCTAAAAATAAACTAGTTACGGCTCAAATAGAAAAAAAAAATCTCAAACGGTTTCCAGTATAAAAATGTCTTAAAAACGACAAATAACAACATGCTACCTTAAAATAACGTAGTAAATAATTAATACTCAATTTTATATTGTTGTGGAATAATTTAATATTAAATGAAATAAGCCTCAACGTCTTTGTATGGCTCTTTAAATTATTACGTTTCGCAATAAAAAGGAATTATCGTCGACAAAACATACAAACTATTTAAGCAGGATGATTACTTATTTTAATTGCGATACTGGACATTACTAAATGAAACTATCTTTAACGGATTTATCGCGTTATTTTTAATTTTAACTCCCGACGTTTCAAATCCCCTACAGAATGCAATCCGCTTTAGGCCACAAAAATAGTACTTTTAAAAAGTGGCGGTAGCCCAGGCTAACAACGACATTAAGACGACTAACGCCTCAGTGGTTTCGTTGGCAATGAATCCTATAAGCAAAGCACACGTAGCGTCAGGAAATAAATATAAATAATAAATATAATTTGATTAATTACAAAAAAGTTTCATTTAGTAATGCTTAGGCACTTTCTTACTCAATTGGATATCAGTGAAATGCTTACAAATATTATTTCATTATCGTCTGTATTACTATTATTTTTTATGTTAGTTATCGCAGAACCGAAATTTTTAGATTGGCTCCAGTATATTTCCATATTAATATCATCGTTATTCGGCATTAAACCCTGAGATATATCATGGAACACCTCAAAATGAAATGGAAAATATGGAACATGTGAGTTTTTCTTAATAAAAATATCACATGAATCTTCTATAACGAAACTAACAAAATTTTATCAATACTTAGCTGTCATTGTGTTGTTATATTTTATTTTTAGTACACGCTTTCCATTAAACTGTCAGGAACAGTTTAATCTATTTTAACATTCTGCATCTATTATTTTCATTGTAATTAGTCATGATCAAAAATCATGGTGGCAAAAATAGTTGTTTTACGACATTACTATTAAAACCTTGAACGTGGAACTACCCTTATTTCTAATCTCGAATTTCATTCCAATGGTATGCCAAAGAGTTTACCCGGCATGTATTACGTAGAGTGTAAATATTCTGTAAATAATTAGATTTGTAAAAACAAAATGTACTCCGAGCAACGAAATTAAGCAACGTACTCATTAGTTTTATATATTTTATACGCCCTCATCATGGGGATTATTTTTTGTAAATAGTTTAAATATACTTTTTTTTTTATTAAAAACTCATTTTACTTTCTACCCTATTATTATTACTTCGCGACAACGTGTAAAATGTCCACATAAAGCAAGTCTACACGAGTAGACTCTTGTTTTAATAGTGGCGATTAGTAGACAAGGTTTCTTCGAAAGCGGAGAGCCATCTTAAGTTGCTCCAAACAAGCCTCGCTGAGTGATCCTTGATCCCATTCTGAGTACGCAAAGTGTATGCGGGGGATAGGGTAAGGTAACGCCCTTCACTATAACCTATTCAACCAAGGTAAAAGTAGTGATTGGACTCCGTTTTGCGCCATCCTTAATGATTCGGCATTGAAGGAGTCGTGGAGAAAGCGTCTGGATAGGTGCGCTGTGGATTCTAAATGTCCATGGGCTGCGGTTATCACTTAACATCAGGTAAATAATCGTTTGCCCCATTCTCACAAAAAAAAACCTGAAAGATAGAACACCTGTGACGGTGAGTCATTATCGAAACCCACAGGCGTCCATAAATACATACAACACCTGCAGGTTGCAGTTGCGTCTCCAACGTCTAAGACCCCCTTTACTTACGCTGGTTTTCTGTGGTACTTCCTGGGACATGACGACTGTAAGTACGCAATTTCAGGCGTAGCGTCAAACACAAATTCCCATTTTCTTGTAAACGAAACACCTCAAATAAATTAACGTAAGATTTTTTGTAGATAAATGAACAGCGACTTCCTGCGCTGCGGATTCGCAATCTTTCGGATTCGCGCCCCAATGCTTTACGAACTAAGCTAAGCGAGCCACTTTACCAACTAATCCAAGCGAGTCGCTTTACCAACTAATCCAAGCGAGCCGCTTTACCAACTAATCTAAGCGAGCCGCTTTACCAACTAATCCAAGCGAGCCGCTTTACCAACTAATCGAAGCGAGCCGCTTTACCAACTAATCCAAGCGAGCCGCTTTACCAACTAATCCAAGCGAGCCGCTTTACCAACTAATCTAAGCGAGCCGCTTTACCAAATAATCCAAGCGAGCCGCTTTACCAACTAATCGAAGCGAGCCGCTTTACCAAATAATCCAAGCGAGCCGCTTTACCAACTAATCGAAGCGAGCCGCTTTACCAACTAACCTAAGCGGTCGATGACCTCACGGTCGATAGTCTCGGCATGTATCTAAGTGCTTTCTTCTGCATTTTAGCAATGCTTGGCACCATCTAGTGTGAAGTGTGCAATAATTTTATTAATCATTAGCGCTAATTGAGCCATCGACAAAGCTTAGGTCGATAAAATTTGATTTTCTTTTTCTATTGACTTCATGGCCGCACGCAATAGTTTTTCTCATTCTCTATAAAGCGTCTAACATTCCTTTATAACACTTCCCAATTTTCACTATTAATTGTTATTATAATAGCGAGATGCTCTCGTACGTGCACTTCAAACAATAAGCGATTGTAACGGCCAACAGATAATTTTAATCGGGGGTCATTATGAAGCGGATACGGCGAACGAGCGAACTCGGTGCGTACAATTTATCGTGTAAGGGTCAAGATAGAGCCGGGCCCGGCTGTCTCTCGGCGACAGTTGGTATCTCGCGGTGTGACAATGCGCTCGACTCTTGCGATAGCTCTGACGCTGGTGGCCGCGGCGCTGGGGGAGGTGGTCGAAATGTACGACTGCGAGAATGGTGAGCTCACACTATTGTATGTCAAACGATCTTAGGCTGTATTACGTTCTGACGTATATTGTCACCGTCCATGCACATTAGGAAACGATCGTAAGGCTTTTGACGGTGTGTGGACACCGTACATGCACATTAGACAATTGTGAACAATATTTTGTTCGATGGCGTATGGTCACCGTCAATGCACATTTGGCGGCGTTGGTCGGGTTTTCGGATACATTACTAGCCTTTCAATCGATTCTATTAGCTATTATGGCACAGGTTCAGATTTGATTGGTCATACTCAAATGGGGCACGTTGTTTTGTTTGAGGAAGAAAAGGACTAATGTTTATTCTCTCTGAGCTATGTAATTCTTTCAGTTGATTATATTAGCGCCTAATTGAACCAGATTTAATGATCTCAATCAGCAGCACATTCTCTTGGTTGTAGAAGAAAAGGGCGAATTTTTATTCCCTCTGAGCTATCTAATTCTGCCCTTCAATTAATTAATCGTGTCCTAACTTTTAAACGACCGTAGGAAAAGCAATTTCTTATGTTTCGTATCTTAAACCAGATCCCCGTTATCACGCATACCTTATTGATATTAAGAATTTGTGTAATATTTGACGCTATGTGCTGCAAGAATCTGGGTAAAATCCTGACATCCAATGTTTTTTTTTTTTCATTCCTTCTGTACTATGGTATGACTGTACGTAGAGCTACTTTTAAGTTAATGGAGACATTACTAACATTGTGATTTATTTATACAAAAATATTTCAGCGAAAGTGTATTTTATGTATTACCAATGTAAGAATTGTTTGTCAACCTTTATAAAAAAATCCTTCGCACATGCGAGGCATCAAGAGCTTTGTGTCCTGCGATAAGTGGAAATACGGATAGCATTAGCAGTTTCTGTTCACCTCAACCCTAGGGAAAAAGGAAGGCCTACCATGTAACTGACAAATAATAATACTAATATCAATTAATTTGTAAAAGACTATGGTATCACGGTTTTTGCTCTTAAAATGCGTACAAATATGTCCAGTGCTATTCAGAGAAAATAGCACCAATATTTCTTAGGTGATTCGATGGACTGCACAAAAATAATACCTAGTAACAGTTGAGGTACACTTTTGATAACGACAAATCCGCTTGACATTCTATTCCAAGTTTTATTTTGAGTATGAACTTTGCTACTCACAATAGATAAACTATTATCACTAAATGTACCCAATGTACCCACAGCACTCGTGTAATGGATCTGCAATAAGTTAAATGTCATTATTTAACTAGTTAATGGCACATTATTTCCTTGTCGCTTATCTTATCTATACTTGTAACAAAGAGGTTAAATTATATTTTTTCTTTTATATTTGTTTCTTTGTCAGGACCGGCAATCTCTTGAACTGCTCAACAATTCGTTTTTTTTTTTTTTTTTGCTTTTACGTGCCTACATTATTCTTTTGGTATAATTTAATTGAAAGATAATAGACTTTTATTTGAATAAAAAAAATAGAGATTCATCTCTATAGATCGAAATATTTTAAACTACATAAGTAATAAAAAAATTATGTCCCTACTTATGTACGTCAAAAAGATATACTTCTTTAGCGGAGCAAAAGAAAAATAACCTTTGATGATACAGTTGTCAACTTATCACTGTACAAGTATATAATCAAAGAAAATAACTAAAAACGTTAACCCCTGTGCCAGTGCTCTTTGTTTGTGTAAAACACATTAATCGCAATTTATAACGGTTTAATTAAATAACTTGAAACTATAGATAAATGTCGAAGTTAGTCGCTTTGTAAAAGCCCCACAAGCCACAAGTATAACCTCAAAAATATTTGGTCTCACGGTAGGATAACATTATGCAGTTAACAGATACTCGTAACACTATCTCAGACAAACACCCAGATCCGGAATAATTACATATGGGCAAAATACGCGTGAAACGAACTTCTGACCGGCGACGCCGAAGCAAGTAGACCAGCAACTGTGCAAATGAGTCCCAGTTATTTGACAAATCTTGGATTAGTATGTAGTAATCTGTGTTAAAACAATAAAAAGGGGTTAAAATACGCGGAAACTTATGTGAATTTGGCACCAAACCATGAATGAACCAAAAGGAAATGGGAATGAAATTTACCACATGAATGAATGCAAACCCTCGGCGCAGGTTTCGAACCTGGGTCTTCTGATGAGACTTTACCTCATGGCCCGAAATCTTGAAATCTATGTTCTTTATTGCACTTTAGGCAATACTTGGCGCCATCTAGTGTGCATAATCTAGTATGACACACCTTACAAAGAACATTTTGCGGTGAACATTTGCAACGAGAGATTTTTGATCTTGAGTGCAGAGCAATAATAATAAAAATTAATAAACCGGGGAAATGTTTGATATATTTTATGGTTATATGATTTCAGTGTCGAGTGATCATTGTCAGGTCAACGAAGTCCGGATTACGCCTTGCACTAAAGCCAATGGCTGCCTGCTGAAGAGAGGGAAACAGTACGAGATCTCCTTTGACTTTGTACCCAGTGAGTACACGTATAATGTGAAATTGAGTTTAAGAGTCCATAGATAGAAGGAAATGTTTGTCGCGTATACATTCGATTGCTTCGAAACTTTGGTCAGTTGTTTTACAAACGCCCGCGAAGACTTTTAAAAATTTGCAAGAAAGCAAAGCAATAATTAGTAAGTCTTAGCATGCCGGACATTATTTCTTTCCATTGCATTGCAAACAGAAATTATTTTTATGGATTTCATAAAGTTTAAGTGATTTTTTTAACTCGTGACAAAAATTAATAGCACGGATCGCTCACAAACAAAATGTCGCTAATCATTGATACATTCGGAAATTTAAAAAATTTAACGCGGTACCGTAATGTAATAAAAATATTATCATACAAAAATTTGAATTTTGAATTGAAATCATCAGTTGTTGTCTAAGTTAATATTTCATTTTAAGTTATTTATTTCGTCAAATATTAAAATTACATTTTATGATCATCGATCGAAGTCACCTAGTAAGCGAGATAATGCCTTTCTTTTAACAGATGAATTCCTTTTTCTATAGCAAATAACTTCAATAACAAGAAAATATAAATTCAATAAAATACAAAAGAAAGACATCACTTTATTATCTTTCCATAGGTTTTATAGCATTAATACATAAATAATTATAATTTTCTATTTTATGTACATATATAGTGTGTACAGGTATTTGTTAAATATACGTATGTACATATCGTTGGTATAATAGTAAACTCACCAATCTAACATTTCATACACACTTCTGTCAAAATTACCAAAATATTACATTGGAGAGCTTACTATTGTACCGGCGATATATCGTAGACTTTCCCTCGCAAGCTTCATTTCAGTTCACAGTTCAATTCCCTCTTTGGAGAAGCGCCTTCGTCCCGAATGGCTTCAAAGAACGATTAATTTCAGATTTCTCGACCGCAAAACTGAGGACGGCAGTGTACAAGGCAGACGTGGTGGACGTGCCGTTCGTGGAGCTCTCTGACGCGAACGGCTGTGACTACACCACGTGCCCCACGGAGGCCGGGAAATCACAACAGCTGAACTACGGCCTGAGACTGTCCAAGAAGTTGCCGAGGGTACCTGTCCCGCTTGCATCAACCTCACAATGAGCTTACGATGTTGACGAGGAGGAAACCTGCTAGCCCTTAACTCAAGTTGAAACTGTAAATTGTAATTTTTGTTTGATAAATGCTGCGAAGGATGCACACTAGATGGCACCAAGCATTGCTAGAAATGCGTCGTGAAGTCATCGGCCGCTTAGCTTAGTTGGTAAAGCGTCGGAGTGCGAAAACCAGGAGACGCGGGTTCGACACCCGCAGGCCGAGAGTTTCTGTTCATTTATCTACAAAAATTTACAATTTACTGTTCGTACTTCTCTTCTAAGCTCCTTAGTTGATTGTACAGCTTTCTTTTAATCGAGTGGGTTATTGCAAGCAGCTGGCAAGTGATGTTGTAGCCTATAAACTTAGAAGTAACTCATGTTACGAGCGTCAGTTGTACTATAAGTGATTATAGGGAAAGTAGACGCTGGTAGAACTTACAATTGGCTTGACGCCTTATGTGCGAAGCAGCAAAGCGCTTGGTCTATTCAAATCGAAACAAGGCTTTGTTAAATCTTGTGACAATTTATTTATAGATGTTTTTTATTTGCAGGGAACGTTCATAATTAAATGGAAGTTGTGGAATCAAGTGGAACCGGATCAGCTTTGCTGCTTTAAGACTGCAATCGAAATTAGATAAATTACATTAAAACTTCACATTTATACAGTTAAACGGATTATAAATAGAAACAATTATGATTTTTTTATTTTGTTAAACCAACACAGATTTTTTTTTGTAAAGGCACTTAACGTAATGTATAAGTAAATACGACAGAACATGATATAGAACGTATGACACGAAAAGAGATAGCAGTCTATAGAACTGCAATATAATTCCACCAATTAGTGTAGTTTCGGTACCTTGTATCATATCCTCGTATTAGTATATAATATCATTGGGGAGGACTATATAACTCGAAGAATCGATAACCGATGGGAAAGAAAGGTTCTCGTAAATCTCGTATTTGGCGTCGTAGTGTGGGGCGACCCCTGGAGTGATGAACTCAGTACGTGTGCGAAAATCGATGGATGTAGATGGCTCAGGACCGTGTTTCGTGGTGGTCCATGGGGGAGGCGTATGTTCAACACTGGACTCAAACAGCATGATGAAATAGCTACATTAAAACGTCCTAATTAGTTCTTGATGACGCATGGTTCTGTATGATTATGGAAAAGGCAAGATACCCGTATAACTGAATGACTACTCGTCTGCGTGACATATTTTAGTATTTATAATTTATTTAAAACTTGGATAGTGGTCTAACTAGCACAATTGATGGTAAGAATTAAAATAGTCCGTGGTAAATGCTCAGCTCAATAGAGTCCTATTCTTTATTTAATTGACGAAGCCTTGATTTTAATTAAGTGAAAAATCTGAACCATTGTTCCACTCGTGTGTTGGATGTATTACGGTGTAGACAAGACTTTGATAGAAGGGAAGAGAAGAATCGAATAAAACAATTCCTTTGATTATATTTTTAGTTCTAGTCTGCACTCCAGACAAAATTTAAATACGAGTAAAATAAATAATTCTTGAATTTATTTTACAAGCGTTGCTAAAAATCCAAATGATATTTGAGTTGTCGACATTTCGCGTCGTGAAGATATCGACCGCAGTTGGTAGAGCGTCGTGAAGATATCGACCGCAATTAGCGCGTTAGCCCGTAGAAGCGGGTTCGAATCTTGGCAGCGTCAAAAATTCAATAATTTGAATTACAATTTTTATAAATTTGACTATAAAATTTTAGGAGCAACAGCGACATCTCTCGTTACAAGTGTCATCGTTGAATGTCTTTTGTAAGGTGTTATATGCTGTAAAGGATGCACACTAGATGGCACCATGCATTGTTAAAATGCAATAAATTCGCTTGCAATTTTAACAATGCTTGGCGTAAAACATAAGTGGATGTATATTACGATGCCGCAAGTTCGTCGGCCGCTCAGCTTAGTCGGTAAAGCGTCTGGGTGCGAAAACAGAAGACACAGCTTCGAACCATTTATTTAATGAAATAACATTAAACCGTAATGAAAAATATTGAACACAAAGATGACTACTCTGCTACAAACTCGAGACTGAGCCGTTTGATTCTATGATGAAGGTATAATGATATTATATGAGATTTCTGTGAATACTGGCTACATTGGAATTCGTATACCCAAATTTAAAAAAAAACTAATATTTTCGTTTATCATGTATTAATTGATTGATTGAAAGGCTGGCTATAACATAATATTACCACAAATATTAGCTCATTTTAACACGGGAAATATCTGTTCGTTTTCGTTAACGTGTTTTAAAGTATTTTATTTGACTTTTTTTGTAGTTTTGTTATATAAGTGCATTGAATAACGATATACGGAATAATAAAAAAAACGAATGTGGAAGATTGGATTCCTTCGCAGATCGAGGTTGTAGCCAATATCACATTTGTTATTAAAGAATGTCCAAGAATACATTGAGGACAAGGATGCCTGGAAATGACTCTTGCTATGCACTTGCAAGACCCCTGGCTGCTGCTGATTTTATACCTAAATAAGTTTGTATAATTGCATCAAAAAAAAAATAACAACAAAAAAAATAAGACCGCAAAGTTTCTTGCCGGTTCTTCTCTGTACAGGTCTAGTTTAGTGAACTGGTGGTAGATTTTTCTTGACGTGCAATAGGAGCTTAAATTAAGCCCATATTAAATAAATATACTTTGACTTTGACTTTGAAAGGTCAAACTTATCAATAAAACATTTAAACGTGTAACAACGGTCTCTGAACGGCTGATAGTAGGTTCTTGAACCTATTTGTGTCTAAACCCTAAGATGGTCGCCACCAGCATTAATGAGGGATCACGATATCTATTACCCCCCCTCCCTCCTACACTTCGGTAAATTTTCTTCATCTTGGAAGCAGTATTACCCTGCCCTCAGAACCGGTGGGGCGATAACATTTGAAGCCATCTTGAGCTATCGACTTCCTCAGGATCTCTTCGAGGCGTTCACGATTTGCGCCCTAGGGCTCCGTGACGAAGTACAACTACGCCTCAGTAGCCTTGCCTCCCTTTGGAGTTGGTCCTCTTAGCAGCCCAGGACCATTACGATCTAACAGATATCATTACTAGTACAAACCAATCCGATCCAGGAGAAAAACCTCTGATGATCTTCGACATCGAAATCCATCCAAGTGGAGTCGCGGACAATAAGTTATTACCTATATCTAGACGTGTTTTATCTGCTTTACGAGAATGTCACCAGTTCAAAGTTCAAGAAACTCAATTTAGATCATTGTATACCAAACTACGTTGCTAATGAAACTAAATTGTTTTTGTGCAAATGTTATTGTTAATATTTTATTATTAATAGCATTAAAATACCTATAAGGATCCCCTCCTGTTTTTTTTTGGAATGCTCAACGATCCCTACCAGTACTGTGACGTTACAGTTACCAGTTGGTGGACCATCTTTTCGCATTCTATACTCTTTTTGTCATGATTCGGGTTTTTAACGAAATAAAAAAGTGTATCATCAAAGTGTTACATCGCAGAAAAGTTTTAAAAACTCTGTGACGACAGAATTAGTTTTGTTACTAAAGCATATATTCATTAATGGTTAATAAATATAAAAATGACTGTCATCTTTCACCGATAAAGCTTCGTAACTAAGGAGAATAATGAAAATAATAGTAAGATCTCGTGAGGTACCTACTAAACTAAGCTTACTCATTAACTAGTACAAACGGTATCTAGTTTACTTACTAGTACTAAACTGAAGAACATGTATTTGTTGGCGAGTATAGGTTATCATCGTGGAAGTGACTTAACTCATTTAAACACCTTAAGATGCCAAGCTTTTAGATGAGAGTAGGCTCCCTTATCGAAAGTTATAAATCGTATAAATCACTATAAATCGTATCGCACTAGAAATACCACTGGCGACAACCGATTCCACAAAGGATTATCTTCAGACAGTCAGCCCTGATCACGCTATTTGTGAATGCAATTGTCTTACGACTATTATACAATTGATTATCTCTACAATAATTCCGTTTAATAATAGCTGAAAACGAAAGGTAATATTCATTGAATCAATGGGAGCGTAATAAAATAACAATTACCATGTTTTCGTCATTTACCATTATGTTTGTTATCACAATGAACCTGGTGATGAGCATCGACGGAGGATGTTATCTCTTTTATTCACTTCTATAGAGGACAGACGTTAGCTCATTGTTATCTTGTTATAAATTGGCATTATTTAAACACATGCCGTTCATCACAGCATTCCTCAGGGGTTGCCACTGCATTTATGTTATCACACCAAAGTTAAATATGAACGTTTCATATTGTAAAGTTTATATTGTAGAAATCTAGACATTTATGCAAAAGTTGGGCCCTCAATCATGGTGTATTTCTCCCACATTATTTGATCCCATAGTTGTTTCGCATCTGGGTATGGTCCACGTGAAATTTATGTTTTTAAAAAGTCCTTATACAACACAGCATAATGTTGTCCTAAAGTGTTTAAAAAAAAATTGAGCCAACCACCAAAATAAAACCTATAGACCACCGCTAGTAACCATAATCTGCGCCTATGCTCGAAACTGGTCCGATTGGTTCTAAGCAGGTCAGGGTCACCAATAAGTCTCTTCGCACCTCACCAAGTCGAGAGCAGCTAAATATTATTTTCTTTTTTTTATGTAAGAAAATGACATGCGAGCTGTTCGTTCACCTCATGTTAAGTGATAACCGCTGCCTCTTGACATTTGCCAGAACCGTAGGGTTGCAGACAGGTACCAGTTAATAAACTGGGCTCCGGTTATATCACTCACCAGTCGAAACGCACAAGTATAACAATTGCACTTCACGCCCGTCTTCTGTGAGGTCATGGTACTTCCCCTGTTGCGTGACCCTGCCACAGTTGATAGTTTGCTGCACGGGCACACATGAAACTGTTTTCTACACACAATTGGGCTTTTTAAGGGATAGAAGCTGTTCCAGGATGAATGATGACTTTTGATGCAACAGCAGAAGCCACCCGCTATACTGTTCTCATCTTCCCATTAGTTTAATCACTTCCCGGTTAACAACATTCTCCAAATATCTCTTTCATTAGATGACATTTTCGCCTTTAGTCCTGCAGACTGTGCCAATCTTCATCAGGAACTCAACGGTACGTCTCCGCGGCATTCTCTCGCAGCCCTATTGTCAGTTTTAACAACAAGCGGTTGTTATATCAAACACGTCCGCAGTATCGCGCAACGGGAGACGCAAGATGGACGCCCGGCTGCTTCTAGTCGCCCTGTGCTTTGTTTCAGTGTTTTCCGAACCGGAGTACGTCATTAAGAAGCGTTGCAAAGACGGTGGGTGTATATTTTTTTTTATTTTCCTGTCTCAACCAATCGATATATTAGCTGTATTAGCTTAAAAAAAATTATTCTTTTATCATTACATATACTTACTATACCGTACCTAATGAATAAAGTATATACATACTTATATACTTTATTCATTAAGTACAATCACCAATAAAAAACCAGTAATAGCATATTTATAAAATAATTTCAATAGTTGATTGCTTGGATGTGTCATGTATTTTACATATTACCAGACCACCTAGTAAAAATATTTTTAATATAAGAAAAATATTAATATTAATAAAATGTAAAAATATTTTTCTGATTTAAAATAATATACTTCCAATTATAGTCGAGCCAAGTTCTTATGATGTCATAGCAAGAAATCTCGGTACGCATATCATCCAAGTATTATTCAGTTGTCCCCTAGTTTAAAATTGTATGTTGACCTAATTGGACCGTATGGTTGCTTAAGACTAATATATTTGAGCTCAGACCGTTGCTAAACGATATTTAAATCGTTCTAAAATCCTTTCTGAAGTCAAATTTCTTTTGTACAAATCAACATGAAATTATTTGAAGAACATTGCAGCCGAATTTGATAAACCAAAAGGGGACAGATTTTATATTCGTCAGAAAATAAAAACGTGTATAACCAATTATAATTCGTTACTAGATAAACCTATGTCAATGGTTCAATTTATATCGGAAAGGAGCCCCTCGGGGTTGCTCCTGTAAATACTTTTTGCAGCTCTTGTAATTGGATCCATGAAAATATCATCAAATGAGACGGTTTTTCTATTAATATCTGAAATACAGAGGTGTCTTTGTTCACATGTATTGGTGAGTTGCGCAATTAACATCACTCGATAGGCCCATCGTCTACTAAAACGAATATAAAATTATCAATTTTGAACTTGTATTTAAACAGATGCGTCTTAAATGATTAATCCAGTTTATATGTACTCAGACGATTTCTCACGCAACATAATTGTATTAACTTAAATATATAATGAAAGAAATAACGCTCAGGACATCGACATATGCATAAAGACGATAACGTATTTATTTCATGCGAATATAATTACTCTGGCTAGAATTCATTGATTACAAGCACAATGACAATTTATGTTTTTCGCATGATTTCAACGTATAAAAGCCAATTCGATATCGTTTCGACCACCAATGTAACATTTCCTGTAAGCCTGCCGCAAGCTCTTGCTTACTGCAAATGTTTTATATCCCCACATGTATGATCTCCTAATCGACCGACACCTGCGCGCGACTACGTAGAATAGGCTGAAGGCGTAATTCAGTAAAAATTCAGAGAGAAAGACAGATATACATAAAATATCTATATAAATTATAACCTTAGATGTCTTATTCTGATGTATAAGCTATATTATTGTAAAGTTTCATTAGGATCCATTCAGTAGTATTTGCGTGAAAGAGTTACAAACATCCATCCTTTCGTGTCTTATCTAGTGTATCGAAACAGACTACCTTACAGTTACCTCCGCTTTTAGTGGCTCTACATACTTTGTTAGGGTTAAAATATTGAATTAAAATCTTCTATATATTATAACACGATGTGAAAATGTTGAATACTTTTTGACTGTATTAGGGTCACGTGAAACTAACAGCTTCGGTGTAGTACAGATAGACCGGTCCGCCCCGGTAAGTACTACATAGAACTGTTATACTTTTGCATTTCGTCTGGTGAGTGAGGTAGCCGGGGCCCACATAATTAAAAGGTGGCTACGCATCATCAATCCTACGGGTGTTGAAAATGCCTATGGGCAGCGGTTATCACTTAACATTAAGTGAACCGCTAGCTCGCTTGCCGCCTTCTCACATAAAAAAGAATGAAGAAAAGATGCTCGGAGAGTGATGATATTTTGCATAGGAATGCTTTATATGGAATGAAGTTCAGAAAGCTATAGTTAATGTATAACATGTGTTAAAACAAAAAGAAATGATGCATTCACTCCTCACGTTCATACTATTAGGTTACCTTATATAAAGTATATTTTTTTGTAAAATATATTTAATTAATCAAAGTATGCACAATTGTTATCTATTCACTTTTGCCATCTCATATGTGCTTCATTGATCCCTTTACTACAAAAACCATGGGGGCGAGAATCAATAAACTCTTTGAAGGGCGGTTTGGACTCCCGCATCGGAATTGAATTTTTTTCCTTGTAAGAAGTTGTCCAATTTCCGGAAAAAATGGTAATCTGCTGGAGCAAGGTCGGGGGAATACGGGGGATGACGCAGACATTCCAATTGTAGCTCATCTTACTTAGTGGTTCTTTGTTATGCAGTGTTGTCGGGAAGCCGCAGTGGCCTAGAGCAATTGACCAATCTCGGTTGTATAGCAGCTAGTTCTTCCTTCATGGTTTGCAGTTCCTGACAATAGATATCTGCCGTAATCGTTTGGCCTGATTTTAGAAAGTTGTAGTGAGCGACACCGGCGCTAGTCCATCAAACCCTGACAGGTAAATTTTTCTGAGTCAACTTTCGTTTAGGGCAGGATTTGGCTGGGTCTCCAGCGTTCAACCATTGCGACGAGCGCTTCCGATTATCGTACAGTATCTAATTTTCATCACGAGTAATGATTTGATTTAAAATCCCTTTATTATTGTGTCGGTTAAGCAAAATAACACAGCAGTCGACGCGTGTTTGCATGTTCCATTCACTCAATTCATGAGGTACCCATCGGTCAAGCTTTTTTACTTTTCCGATTTGGTTCAAGTGGATTAATACAGTTCTATTACATACTCTGAAGCCTGCATCTATCTCTGAAGTGCTTTGTGATGGATCCACTACCACAATAGCCATTAATTCTTAATTCTTAGTTTTTCGAAAACGTTAAAACCAAAATCGTACCGTGCTTTCTTTTGCGATATTTCATGTTTTCCATTGTGCGGTTAAAAGCGAGGCCAAAGTAAAAAAAAAAAAAAAAATTCAAAACTCAAATGTACCAGGTACATGAATTTATAAATTTGAATTTAGAATTCTTAACCAAAGAGGAGATATTTCAAATCAAAGTGATCAGTACGACAAAACGCTAATTTCATATGTAAGGACCTAATATTGATGTCAAACAGGCATTAATCTGTTTTTCAAAAAATTTCAGGGAGTAAAGATTGCCGTCAAAGACTTTTAAAATACTAGATTGACTGAATATGTGAAATTTTATTTTCAGTGGACGCAGAACAATGCAGAATAAACAACGTTAAAGTGGATCCATGCCCACGCAGTCCAAATCTATGCATTATAAAACCTGAGAAGTCTTACTCAATCAGCGTGGACTTCACACCCAGTAAGATTGTACACTCCACTAGTGTTTCCTAACATAGTACACCGAAGTACACTCCACATTTTACTAAAATCCGTACAACCTTTGAGGAATAATCTTGAACATCTTGAGGAATAATCTTAAACATCTTAAATAATCTTTTATCAGTGTGTTCGTTTTAAAAATTAATCATCATTGCACAGAAAACCGAGGTCCTGAGAATAAAGGTCTCCCTTCAACTTATCAATTAAAACAAGTCAAACGATATCCTCTATATGACCGGACTTGCTTTAGATATTTAACGAAGATAATTACTCTCATACAGGCTTCTGGATTAGAAAGCAAAACGCGTTCACAATAGTCTGACTGACTCGTTCGCGATATGATGAAATACAACATAGCGAGGAAAATAACACGTTTTCGTATCCTTAATTTATTTACATTTTTTTTATGGGAAAAGTTCGAAAACGAACAGGTGGTTCACCTGGTATTAAAAGATTACCGCCAACCATGTATATCCAATACACCCCTACTGATAGATTTTTGACTAGAATTTTTGCTGTTGCCTGAATGGGCAGGTCCGTCCGAGGAAGTACCTCACAGAAGACCGGCGCGAAGTGGATGTATTATACTTCTGCTTTTCGTCTAGTGAGTGAAGTAGCCGGGGCCCACTTTATTAAAAGGTGGCCACGCCTCTGCAACCCTAAGTACTCAACATAGAGCAAACCGCCAGCTCGCTTGCCACATTCTCACATAAAACAAACCTATAGGATTGCAGATGCGTTACCAAATTTCAAACAAATTGATCAAGGCCTCACTCACCAGACGATCGCGACAGTCTTCCACTACACGCCGATTTTATGTAAGGCCGTAGCATTTTTCCTGACTAGACTGCCCATTCCCGAATAGCAGAAGCCGCTGCGTGGCCATACAATAACTGCCTTTGTATTCGACATAGAGTGACATCTTCCACCACCTCTACCGTTGCGTACTCAACAGACTCGTCGAAGCGTTAGGTTACACTTCACAAAATAGCAAAAAAACGACATAGGTTTAAACAAGTAAGCAAATTGTGTGATTAACATAGTGTTTTTACAGTGTTTGTGTGTTAACATGTCCATAATATGTATTTATTTACAAAAGAAAAGTATGTTTACCACTTATCTAGTACCCATAGTACAAGCGTCGCTTAGTTGGGACTAGAGAACGTTGTGTAAAAATGTGTCCTAAAATTATTAAAAAAAAAAAAAGCAAACTTAACGTAGTGCATAAAGTCCCTCACTACCTCTGAGTGTGACCTTTCAATGTAGCCCGTACACATATTCTCTTGATCACGAATTCCCCAGAATTCTCCGCCAAGTCCCTGAAACTGGCAATGTACAGCGACGAGAAGAAAACGAACCTGTTCGAGACGGCGGTGAGGGCGCCGCAGGATGGCTGTGGGCTGCTCACCTGCCCGCTACAGGCTGAGGAGAGGAGGAATTTCGACGTCCACTTCCAGCTGGCCAAGATGTCACCGGTAAACGTGTAATTTTTAACTGCTTGTTTTATTTGAACAGTGTGCAAGAGAGCTGGCGGAGCTTACCTGTTGATAAGTGATAACCGCCACCCGTGGACATTTGCGATAAATAGGGTTGCAAGTGCGTTGCCAACTTTTAATAAAGTGGGTCCCGGCTACCTCACTCACCACACGAAACGCAGAGGTATATACAAGAAGTTACTTCGGTGTTCACATCCTATTAAGCCTGATTTAACAGACAAAATGTAAAGTCTAACACTTCCACTTCACGCCAGTCTTCTATGACGCCGTGGTACCTCCCCGGACGGAGCTGCATATTCGTGCAAGAGTAGAAACTGTTCCGTGGCACTACCATAGTTAAATTTGCCACCATTTTTATTTTACTATACCTTTGCCTGTGACCGACTGCTAAAACTGATCCAGTTATAAAGCGAAACTACATGCGTGCCATTTCATGTCCCCAGGGTAAATTCCCGATCAAAATGAAGCTTTGGAACGAGGAGGACGAATCTCAAGCATGTTGCTTCACCTTCAACGTTAAAGTGAGGAAATGAACTTTATGTAACGGTATATTAATAAATATCTAATTTGAAACCCTGTAATTTCATTTGGTTCAATCTTAATATTGTACGCTTATGTAATTAAATTAAGGTTACATTTACGTCGCCGTCTAGGTCAATATTTGTGATGGTAATATAAAGATAATTAAAAAGATATGAAAATGATTAAATGTATTTTTAATATATTTCATAAGTTGTTCATCATCAGAAAAGTCTATTGACAAGATATAGAAGTATGAATATCGTTTAAATTTATTTAAATTAATCTGAAGTAATGTTATTGCATAATTGCTTCTTATCCACCAACTTCCTACTTCAGCTTATTGTTAATAGTCTCATGTTCCTTGATTTCATCAGCGCCATCTTCCCGTCATTTGAAAAATTTAAAAATGTCTGTATCATGTGGTAGATGGCCATGCTTGTATTTACCACTGAGCTACTCGTATGCTTCAGTCTATTATTGTAAAATTGAATAGCATCATTATGTTTAAAAACAGACTGTTGAACCAAGAGGTATCCAATTATTATTGTTAACTGGTTCTCATCAAGTAACTGTTTTGTAGAAAACTAATTATCTTCGAGATAATTTCTCATTTCGCAGCATCTGCGGTCTGCAGAGTTGATTTATGTCTATATCTATATGCACTTAAATATGTATAATAAAATCAAATTATAAATTTAAACAATATTCTTAATTTATTACACTAATGTTTATGACGGTGTCGTGTGGTCTGGAAATGATGTTATGCTCAACACTAGATGGCGTTAATAGTAGGTATGTACCTAGTATGTACACAAAAATATACTTACTATTTATTATTTTCTCACCAGCATTAAAGTTTATTGAACAAGTTGAAATATGTTCAGAACTTTTAAATGGTTTTCGCTTATGTAAGTGCAGTTCGTTAGACTAATAAAAGATCTTCTAAAGTTTTGATAGTAAATGATCATCATCATAGTTAAACGGAATTTGAAGGCGCGATTTCGTTTAACTTTAGGGCGAACCTGTGTTATTTGGTTTTCGTTTCGTGTTTTGCAAGAGTATAAATATACGAAAGGCACACGCGTCTTTCATGGGTCCGTTAAATAACTATTTCCTAAAGATCAGAGATTGCTCTGCTTATTAAAGTGTATTCAGAGATAAGACGTTACTCAAAATTGCTTTTTCAATACATTATCATTAATTGTAATAATTATAATTGATATTTTCAATTGTTATATGTATGCAGCGTGTCGTTACCATCGCGACAATAAATGAACACACGTCTAATGCTACTTGCCAATAATCATAAAAAAATATTAACGTTAAACAAAATCCATAATTAAAAAAATATATTTTTCAAACAAATTAAGTAAAAAAGAAAAAAAAATTGTAACACCTATACAACTCGCGCCACGGCGTCGCATTACAAGCCTCTCCTTCTAACAGTATGTTTTGTCTCTTTTAAATTCATTCAACCCATTCATATGCTTTGTGACCTTTACAAAGGAACTTTACGTTATAGTTTTATACGTAAGGGTGTTCTAAAATTGTTTGTTTTGGAAAATTTTATAACTCGGTAAATATTGATGTTTAAAGAATGTAAATGTTTCATACAATTTTAAAAAGTTATCCTCTATATGTGTGTTCATTTATTGTCGCGGTGGTAACGACACGCTGTATATGCAGAGAAGTATATATGCAGAAATATCTAAACATACCGGTTGAAGAAGTAAACGTGGACAACAGCTCAAACTAATTTACAAATAAGGATTTAATTTTTTGGGTTCCGTACACCAAAAGTGTGAAACGGGACCCTATTACTAAGACTCCGCTGTCTGTCTGTCTGTGTGTCTGTCTGTCTGTATGTCTGTCCGTCTGTCTGTATGTCTGTCCGTCTGTCACCATGCTGTATCTCGTGAACCGTGATAGTCAGACGTTAAAAATTTTCACAGATGATGTATTTCTTTGCCGCTACATAATATATTTAACTGGGGCTCTCATACAATAGACATGATTGTTGCTAAACAATGGCACGAAAACCAAAATGGAATGCTCGGGTCGGACTCGCACTTGGACGGTTTAATTATAGAATACAGATTTTTGGATGCGAAAGCATCGGGACTTCTGTGTATCCGTAATTGTGGTTCTATTTATATAACATACAAAGGGAATCAAAAATATCTTAATCTAAACTTCGTAATAGGCAATATAAATGCAGTGTAAAACACAAAAATCTTTCTGCATATCTGAGGGTACATTTAATTCTGAAGGGATAACCAAACTGCATCCGTTAGCTAGTAAAAAGCATCGGGCCGTAAAGGTTTAATCTAAAAGTGGATCGGTGGCTAATAATTAAGCGAGGCGAAAATGCTCAATGATGCTTGGCACGCACTTTTACTCGAAACTAGGCTGCGCTATCGATAAAACCAAAAAAAAATCTTAAACGCAAAGCTTTGAAAGGTCGATACAGGTATGGCAAGCGAATTAAATGAATGGTAGAATGTCGGTTCACCTGATGTTAAGTGATAACTTTACAACACCCGTAGGGTTATAAATGTGGGCCTTTCGATAAAGCGGACCCCGGTTACCTCACCGACAAGACGAAAAGGAGAAGTATGACAATTCAACTTTATGCCAGTCCTCTGCGAAGTCGTGGTACTTCCCCAGATGGATCTGCCCATTCGTGCAACAACAAAGACGGCTCCTAAGGATAGACGGTGCGGTCACTAAGATAGAGACTTCGGCCGTGGAATCGATTCTCACTCGGAGCAAGTAAAAGGACGTGCAAATCACACAGCTTATTGTTCTGCGGGTGTTTATTCCTCAGGAGGGTTAAAATCAAACAAGCGGATCAAAAAAAATGTAGCCAATAACATTAACAACACAACATTAGGTGGGTTAAGGGCAGGAAAAGCAAAAGGTGACTTTACTTTTACACGAAAGGGCAGGCTCGTCCTGATTAATGCTATAACCTCACAGAAGTCTAGCGAGAAGTAGAAGCATAACAGTTTCACATTTCCTCTGGTGAGTGAAGTAACTGTGGCCCATTGTTTTGAAAAGTTACCAACGCAATTGCAATCTCTCTTGTGATACAAACGTGCAAATCAGACGAATCACCTGCTCGTTGTCCAAGTATTTACATAAAAAACTTCCTTAATCTATAGATACAAATTAAAGAAGTTTGTAGGTTCATTGAAATCCCTCTCTTGTTTAATTGCAGCATTTTAATTTTAGATCCATATTGAGCCCACTGCAAGCACCAAGAATAAACTTAACTAACAAGCAACACGCGATGAACTCTCCGATGATGTGAAAGGAGTCACACGGTAACACCAGCAAACACTTTCGTTCCCACGCAGAGGTCATCGAGTCAGAGAGTCGACCTCGATCATTAAGAGTTCAATGGACAGCGCTATTTATGCCGTCTAAGTGTTCAAGTTGAAAAGCTCCTGATGTTATTTAACCTGTGCTCAGAATTGACAAAGTATTCGAGTTTTCTGCAAAGGCTGTTCAGATCCACAGCTGATCATAGGCCACAGACTGCCACGAAGCACGATCCTGAGCTAGCTACATCCATTGAGTTCCCCCACATTTGCACAGAAAATTTATTGGTCTTTAAATCCACGTGAAGTTGTATTTAAATTTTTCAGATCGTATCTCTATCTTCCTATGTCTACAGTATCATGTTTGCTTAAAAGAAGCGTCGGACTTGTTGAACAAAACTCCATAAGAAGTGTATTTCTAATATATTTTAAGCAATCTAATGCAAAAAAATTCAAAGTTGCATTAGATTGTTTCAAGGCTGAGCTGACTGCCAGGCTGTTTCCTACATCAGCCTTAACGAAACGCTGTATCTTTGTCTCGAATATTTTATATCACATGGTGACAATCGGTCGAATCTTGATAATATCAAATTAGAACGAAGCGGGATTTCTATTTACATCTACTTCCGTGAAACTTTGTGAAGTACACGAAGATACAGTCAAATAAACATGTATACCTAATAGTTGCCTACCGGCAAAAGTAAAAGTAGGCTTTGTAATACTACAGATTACACTTTTAAATACGCGCATTCCTCTTTACAAACGTAACACTTTTATTTAATAAACACCACACAAAAGAACACCACCTAATCTCTATTATGCCGTTGATCCGACGATTGATCGACGCGCGCCGAAAAAACGCAGGCAAAAAACCGTCGGCCCGTGAAAAAAACAAACAAAGTCGTGTTTCGAAAAAAATACCCCCGGCCGAGCGGACGTCGGACTCGATGCGACGAAAGTGAAAACACCAGCACGAAGTTAGACATTCCAGCGTGAAGGTACGGCTGCTAGAAGTAATTTGTTGAGGAACAAGAACAAAGGCTATCTAACTGTTTACCACAGAAGAGACGGGTGGCTTCATGTACCATATATTTGGTGACGTGGACTTACCATGGCCATACAAAAGACCGTTGTAAACGAGAAGTGTATATTGTTTTGTGTTATTTTGTGTGGATCACACCCTGAAAGGTCTGGTACACACCGTCAAATACTACGCTTACTATCAGAAGAACCACTTACTTGTTATTCATCTGTTCTGTTATTGTTAATAATAACAGTACAGATGTACAAATATTGTTGTCTGTGTTATTAACAAATAACAGTTAATTGAAATTAATAGTACGTGAGGAGGACGGCATGATCTCGTGTTGTCGCACCTCCCAGGTCCACTCCAGTTATTTCTTTCATATGCATGTAAGCATATAAGTGCCTCACGTAAGCTTCCAATTAAAATGCGATTTCAAGTCAAGAGGGAACAGACTTCCACTGAGTTAAAATGTTTCCTGACAATGACTGCATTTCCAGCTAGAACACAGTTCATGATGAAAAAAGTATCCTTGTAAGTAAAAAGAAAGACTCCAACTAAAACGAAAACAGAACACCACCGACCATGATTAATTCTCGTTGAAAGCAGTCATTGAACTGGAGCCTTTCGAACCGGCAATAAGCATCAATTGTATCAATAA